ATACCATAGAAGAATGAAAAAATGTAAAGTGCAACGAACAGTCTGGTGGTAAGTGAGCACTGGTCTACGCCACACTCTGTCCTCCTTTCCCCTGAGTGACGGAATGCCCCCTCCCTTAGTCCATTCACATCGATCCCTTCTTGATCAACCGCCTGAGCATTCCAGCACACTCGAGGCTGCAAAGCACTCCTCTGCCGATTCGTGGGGGAGGCAACCGCACTCGGTTGGAAAAAAAAAAAAGACAAATAAGAATCCACTTAGGACAGTACTTATTTTTAAAATAGAGATTTCCCCTTAATTATAATATAGGTTTTTTCACGCTTCTTCTGAACTTTCATAACAACACTATCAAACAGTAACAAATATAAATTTGTGCAGCCTGAACTATGCAATTTAATCATAAGCAGTAATTTCCATATTACTGAGGAGGGGGAAAAAAAAGTCAAATGATTAAGCTCCAGTGCACGAGGACCCGTCTTGAATTAAATTTTATTTTCTGCTCAAGTTACGTTTTGTATTCCAATGTCAAGAATGGTTTAGAGATAATGGGAAATCATTTACTGTTACATTAAAACGCCATGCCCCAAAGTGTTTACCAAAGAGCAAACTGTTAACTCTTTTTTGCAAACCAGAAATGGCTTTCAGATGTCTTCAAAACCCCTTGAAAATGCAGACAACGATACCACAGCCATGTCACCAATGTGTCTCTTCTTCATCCATTCTCTTCCCTTCGGAGCCTGAAATGATGCTCTTTCTAGCACACGCGCGCGCGCGCACACACACACACACACACACACACACACACACACACCCAGCAGCCACAAAATCCTCCCAGATCACTGCCTCAGTGAGGGCTGACCTTGTTTATCATACAGCCCCGCCCCCACCCATCTTCTGCTCCATCTCAAGTTAAGGAGGTTTCCCAACTTTCCAGTAAACTCCAAGGTGGGAAGAAGCCGCCGAAGGTAACGGGACCCACCGACCCACCGACTAGAAAGATGTTAATCCTGACAAACTGCTCGAGCGGTAGCCTGAACCACAACTAGACTGAATTCGGTCTCTCCTGAGAGGGCCCGACAAGGCTGGTGGCAACAAAGCGGCTTTTCACGGTGCCCTCAAAAGCAGATGGGCCCCATGCAGAAGGTTGGAGAAGGGCGCCATTGCCCTCTAGTGGCCAGAAGTGCAATCTTCCGCGCAGGAGCGCATTTCCAGAGCCGCACAAGGCTCTCAATGTCAGAGTAAAATTATAGCAGAAAGATGTCTAATTATGCTCCTCGAGTGTTTTCTTTAGTCCTTCCTGACCATTGAGGAGGCTGTGGATGGCTCTCACAGTAATCCGGACGGAATAGCAGATTCTTTCTCTGGCTGGTGCACCAGAACTTGTCCAACTTTCTCCAGCTGTTTTTTTTTTTTCCTTTGTAACAGACCTGTTGATGTTCTTCCTCCAGTCAATTAAACCACACATTTATAGAGACCGACGATCTGTATGTATTTCAGAGGCAATAACTTTGCCTTGGAAAGGCCGACAACTCACAAGGCTTGGTAAATCTAGAATGAGGCTTCTTGACACGAAATTAGGGAACTTTCTATGAAACAATCACCAATTTCATAAGGAGGAAAAACATCCCAAACACATTTCAATCTCTCCAGTCCTTCACTGGCTTGGAGCGTTACGCACACACTGGTCAGATTTTCTAGGGAGAGAGGCCTAGGAATCCAGTCATTCTGCAAACTTGACAACTAAAAAAAACAGGTATGCTACCTACAGTACTTTCAAACTCTATAAGCCACTGTTCTATTATTTTATTATTATTATTATTATTATTGTTATTATTATTAAAGTATGCCTATGATCAAAGTGGAAAAATCAATCCTGAAAACAAATGAAATGATTATGCCTCGCGAGCATCTGTCTACAGACAGGGGCGGGCGGAAGTAGGCTGACAGTCACACACATGCAACAAACCACCGTTGATCAAGCTGCCGTAGCCGTCACAACCCGCACGTCTCTTTCCCAGGCGAGCCGCTGTCAACCTCCTTCCGCCCGCCCCCGACCATGGATGGAAGGCGAAGGGAGACTGAAGTCAGATCTGCAGGATCTGTTTAGAGGGCTCTGACAACATATTTGCATATCCCAGGTCAACGCTGACGTCCACTGTCAACGTCACACGTCACAGGCGGTCACGGGCACGGTTGGGAGACACACTGTGCGCTGGCACTGTAAATCCGGCCCTGAGGTCCGCGTCGCGGCGTTCCCCGTCCCAGGGCCCCCAAACCAGGATCCTTACGAAGCAGCCCTGCACGCTGTGCAGAGTGGAAGAAACACCACGACGTATGAAGACAAGAGCATTCAAGGGGCAGGACACGGGTCTGTACTCCCCCAAATCAGGGCGCGTCTCTGCAACCCTGCCCCGCCTCCTCGCGCAAATAAACAATTAGACGTGCGTGTCCACAGCCACCATCGCACAGAGAAAATATGAATTCTGGGTCATAGAAAAAAAAAATAGGAGCCATAACTTTTTTTTTAAACACAAGATTGCATCTTAATTGAAAATAGAATTTAGGTTTCTAGTAATTTTACTGTCTGGCGTTCTGATAAGAATGTTGAACATAAGGGAAGTTCTGGAGTGCTATCAAGATGGTCCACTACTTCCACTCAAACTGTTTTAAAAGCCTATTTTTCCAGCCAGCAAGAAGCCCCGTTTGAGCAAATCTACATGTCTGGGCCTCAGCCGAGTAGTCTGTCTGTCCTTCCAACGCATCTCCTTTCCCTTGGCGGATGGCTAGGGTAGGGGCGATTTCTTCTTTCCAGCAATGCAAGAAAATGGCCAGCGCATGCGGGCTCTAAAATAACAATGCAAATAGTGATAGAAATAATTGTTAATAATAAAGTGTGGCTGCCAGGCATGTTTGATGCGTTCGTTTGCCAATGTTTCCAAAGCAAGATGTAAGATAATTCTCACTCCAGCCAAGTTCCCCTGCCTCCCAGATGCCTGTCCCTGGTCTGCACGCGGAAAAACTCCTCACAGTCCTTTGTGCGAGGCAGGCTTTTGGAGGTCTGAGTCCCAGGGCCCACCGGCCAACTCCAAAACTTCGCATGGGATCTCCCCACTAATAAACTTCCGTGACCGGGAGCCTGGGGTCCCTCTGGTACTGGCCACAACTCTGGCCCTTTGTTTTGCAACTTTTGTTCCTTTGTTCTACTGAAGGAAGACCAGGCCCCCTGCAGCTGGGGCTGGGCAGTGGCTACTTGTGGGTTCTGATGCCTCTGTGGTATTTGCAGAAAAAAGAATCCCAGGATCCATGCAGTGAAGGTCAGCCCCATTCTCTCCTCCTTCCCTAGCCCTCACAGCCCAGCCGGGCCCAGGCGCTGATGCGAGGCTGGCGGGTCCTCGCTCCGAGGAACAGTCCTCACCACCCCCCTCCCCGGAGAACCCAGACACCCCGCCACACCACCGACGCCTGCCGCAAGCGTAAGTGATAAAGCAATTGATCCAGCCTCTCGCCAGATTAATTATCCTGGCTTCCCTGTGATTACACTGAAAACTTACTCCCTGCCTCATTTGAAACCAATAGGAATGATCGGAAAGGGAAAACAAGGGGAGATTTCAGAGCCACCCGGACGAGGTTTCCTTGGGGGGAAACGGGAGGGCAGACCCCAGGCAGAGATCCACCTTCATCCCCTCCTGCGGCAGGGTTTCAGAACCACCCTTCCCCCCCAACCCCTCGGGACGCCCCGTCATCAAGCAGGGATGGCATCATTAAATAATTAAAAGATGCAATTTCTTAACAGCAGTGCAATGGCCCGTGAAATTCCTGCTGCATTATCAGCAAAAGCAACAGGGCTCTCTCTAGCATCCAGAAAACCTTTCACCCGGGAGAGGGAGGCGCGCGGCGCCCCCCGCCCCCATGCCCCGGCGACAGCAGGGCCTTGGCAAGAAAGGGATGAGGAGAAGCGACTCGGGGGCCTCCCGGACCCCACTTCCCCTGGGGACTCTTCCCTTCACAGCGCGAGGCGGGCTCTCCTCCAGCTCCGCCGGGTGGAGGGGGCGAAGGGGTGCTCTCCTAGCCGCCCTGCCCATCCTGCCGGCTACAGCGCGCCCCCCACCCTCGGCCCCCCGTTCCCCGACAAAGCCGAGGGAGGGAGGCCGAACGGGCTGGAGAGGCTTGGGGCGCTCCGGAAGGAGGCGCAGGCTTCGGGGAAGGCTTGGTTTGCAAACTTAACGTTGACCCCGGCAGGATTCGCCAACCCCAAGCCGGAGTCCGAGTGTGAACCGCTCACAGACCGCCCGTGGGGCTGGCGGGAGCTGGGGAACGGCCCCGGAGCTCCCCAAGAGACTCCGGCGTGAGGGCTGGAGCGCGCGCCGCAGCCGGCAGCCGGCAGCCGGAGCCGCAGTCAGCGGACCCAGATCCAGGCTATTAAAGTGCGGGGGAACCGCCGGCGCGAGCTGGGTTCCTTCGGGTTTCTGGGGCCTCCCCGGCAGTCTGGAACGGAGGGCTGCGCCTCCGGGAGCCTTCAGCGGGCATCAGGGGAAAGGGGTAGGAGCCCTGCGGAGTGGGGTCTCGTCGCCGCTTTCGGAAAGAGGCGCAGCGCGGGCGGGCAATGCCCGTGGGTGACTTTCCCCAGGGACCGGACCGGGGGGCAGTCGGCGGGTCCGGGGCGCAGCTCTGCAGCTCCTCGCCCGAGCTGGGGGCAAACCCTCTCTCCCGCGGCCTCGGCGCAGAGTTCAGAGGAGGCCGGAGCAGGGGAGAGAGGTTGGAGCGCACATCTGGCGCCTGTGCCCCCCTGCGCTGTCCGCGCCCACAGCCGGTTCCCTTCTCCTTTTTATTATTTTTAAACAAATTTTCACTTATCTCCGCCCCCCCCCCATTTCCTTGGCGTTAGTGAAACCTCCTCTAGTCAGACCTCACCCCCAACACATTCTCACCCAGAGCACCCCCCGCACCACACACACACCCCTCCGGCAAGAAGCAAGAAAAGGCACAGCGGCGCGCCTCACCTGGGGCCCTGGAGGGTGGGCGCGAGCTCCGGCCGCAGGTCCCCGGCGCTGGGCGAGCGCAGCGGTGTCAGCCCCGGTCCCAGTCCGGGTCCCATTCACAAGTCCGCGGCTGCTGCGAGCGGCCCCCGCGGCTGCTGCGAGTGACTCTCCCCTCGGCTGGCGGCGGCCGCGGAATGAGCCGCGGAGCGCGCTAGTGGCAGGAATGAGAAACCAGGGGGAGGTGGCGGGCGGGCGGGGTGGGGGTGGGGGGACGGAGGAGGAGGGAGGCCGCCGCTGGGAGGAAAGGAAAGGGCGGGGTGGGGGGCGGAGAGGAGCCGAGGCCGTGAGACGCGGTGAGCTGGGCCTCGCGGAGGCTGCGGGGGCCCGACCCCGTCCGCGCTCCTCCCCCGAGGGGCCCCAGAGATGCCAACCCCGGGATTCGTGGCCGCCCCTCCCGCCCAGTGTCGTTGCTCTCCGGCTCCTTCGGGGCTGAGACTGAGTCTGGAGCGACTGAAGTTGGGCTCCAGGGACGCACAGCCAATCAGGGAGGGCGGCGGAGGGAAGCTGGGGAGGGGGGTGGGAGCCCCTTTTCCTCCTTTGCCCAAATCCGCTCCAGCTGGCCAGGCTGGGCTCCTGCCCGGGAGGCCTGGATGGTGGGATGGGGGGAAGCATCGGCCAAGTGGGGGAGGCATCGGGCATTGTGCCACCCCACCTTCGGTCAACCCCTCCACGTCGGCCGCTTTCGCCCTGCCTCCGTCCCCTATCCCCGGCAAACTGTGCTTGGGGCGCGGGCGGCGAAACCTGGGGAGGAAGGTTTTGGATTTAGGAAGAGCCACGTCTCTGTTCTCTCGGTTCTCCTCCCCCGCAACCCCCGCCTCCACTGCCTCGCGCGCGAAGCTGAGTGCGGGGAATCGTGTGGTCTGGATCGGCCTGGGGTTTGCCACCACTGTGCCCCAAAAGGGTGCCTTGGCCCCCCGCCAGTGGAGTCACTTGTTGCCTCAGCCCCCCCAGTTGCACACCCGCCAGAGCTGGAGAGTGAGGTTCTGCAGGAGAACGGGCCTGAGGGCGCCGTGCCCGTGTTCTCCCTCCATCCTCCCCTTTTCCCCACCAGAAGGACCCTCCGGAGGATGGGCGCCCCGGGCCCGCTTCCTGCCCCGGCGGAGGCGCGGGGAGGAAAGACTGGCGCGGCGGGGGCTTGGGAATCTCGCCGGGGTTTGGGCGGGGCGCTCGATGTCCGGGGAGCGGAGTTGGGAGGGCACATTCCGCGGTCATGGAGGGCAACAGTCGTGACCCGGTGGGGAACCCCAGGTTAGAACAAGTTTCTAGGGTGGGGTGGAGGAAAAAAGAGGAGGGGCGAAGGTGAAACACAAGTGCTAAAAGCGAAAATGGAATCTCGGGGGGTAGAGGGTCTGGGATGAGGATGGGGAAGGAGGGGAAGGAGTTGCCGGCCCGCGAAGAACCGTGAGGAGGAGGCGGAGGGCTGAGCGGAGGAGGGAGAGGCACCAGGCAGTTAACGGAAAAGGCGAAGAAGGAAGAGAAAGCGTCGGACTGCACGCGGGGAAAGTAGGGGGTGGCCGGGCGCAGGCCTCAGGCTGGGGGCCACGCCCCGCGAGTCCGCGTGCCCCCAGGGCTTCCCGGGTTCGCGCGCAGCGCGGCCGAGGCGCGCGGCGGGGGGGGGGGCTGGGCGGGGCTATCCGGGTACCGCACCCCACCCCGACCCCACCCCCGCGGCGCGCCAGCGCTCTTCCCCGCGACGCCGGGATCCCGGGGGCGCCGCGAGCCCTGCGGAGCCTGCGTCCTGCGCCAGGCCGACGCGCCTCTCACCGGCCTCGGGGCCGCGGTCTTCAAACTGAGCGTTGCGCCGCTGGGGAGAGGGCGCTGCGTCTCCAGCGTCCCAGTTCTCTTGCTCGTGTGCTTCCCTCCCCCCCAGGCAAAGGCCTCCAAGGTGACAGGCCCCTCGGCACCAGGTCCACGTACCTCGCGCCTCCGCAGTACACGCGGGTGCGAGGGACTGTCGAGGCCGACGAGGCCGTGCCCTGCTCCCGAGAGCGCGGTGAGTGGGGAGCGGCGCCTGCCCCTTCTACCCCAGCAGGTTGGCCCCGGACCGGACCCCTCCCTCACTGCGCCGAGCTGCCTCTCTCCCCCTTTGGCCTTGTCTTTTCATGTGCCGTGTCCGTCTACTCTAAGCCCTAAAACTCGAGTTGTCCGAGGCCACCGCCAACGGTCTCCACACTCCCTCTGACGGAGCCTAGCGGTGGTACTGGGGAGCTGTGACCGCCGTCTCCCCCTGGAGATGGAGTGACACCGGAGGGAGGGCCCCACGCTCCCTCAGCGATACTTGGTTTTCCGTCCCTGTTTGGCTACTAACTGTTGTATGGGTTTTCTCTTCTTTCCCACGTGGGCGTAAAAAGGGAATGTGAAGGGGTGGGCAGTCTAATTACACGTGCGCACCCGTGTGCGGTATCTGGGAGGGCTGGGGCTTCGCTCAGGGCCCACCCACAAGGCGGTTTCAGGAGTTCCGCTGGGGAAGCAGGTCCAAGGATGCGCCTGTGTGACCTGCCATTGGCTGCGATTTGTCCTTGACTTCCCGGCCATGTTTTCAGAATTCATCCGATGACAGCGGTTGTTTTTGTTGGTTGGGTTTTGTGTTTGTTTGTTGTTGTTGTTGTCGTTGTCGTTGTTTTATTTTGTTGATGGCCTGGTAGGTTTCCACGGACATTGCACGTGCGAGTCAGATGCGCCCCCTGAACAGCAGTGGTCAGTCCTCCTTTGCACGGCCCAGTCGTTCAGAGCCTGGGGTTCCACTCCAGAACACGGAAAACATATATCCACACGAAGACACGTACCCAAATGTTCACAACAACCTTATTTATAATAGCCAAAGTCTGGAAAGAAGCCAGAGGTCTATCAACCAGTGAGTGGATGAACAGGATGCGGTACATCCATGTAATGGAATAGTATTCGGCATTAAAAAGAAAAGAAATACGCGTGTTCCATAATGAATGAACCTTAAAATAATGTGTTAAAAAGCCAGGTGCAAAACCACATCCTGTACAATTCCACTTATTTAAAGTGTCCAGAAAAGGCAAGTTTATACAGACAGAAAGCAGATCCGTGGTCGTCCTGGCTACGGGTGTGAATGAACAGGAATTGATTACAAATAGGCATGTAGGAACTTTGTTGGGTGAAGAAAATGTTCTAAAATATTCTACAATGGTGATCGTTGTGCAAATCCATACATGTACTAAAATTATAGAATAGTAACAAAAAAAGGCAGAAAGAATATCTTTTTACACCTCTACTCCCAGGTTACCTGTGACCTGTAGCTGAGCCTCAGGGGAAAAACTTCTTGCAAGGCAGTTTTAGAGGAAGAAAAATGTTAAAAAAAAAAAGAGAGAGAGAGAATTCTAGTTCTTTTGGAAAGATAACTATACTTCTATTCAGCAAGTTCTATTTCGACGACTGTTTTTGGAGAGTCTTGTAAGTGTTAAAGCAAGTTAATTCCCCCCTTTCAGTCTTCTAACTGATTAATTCCTGGGAACCAGAGTTAGGCATCCCAGTTCGTGACATTTTAAACACACCTACACATCGACACAGTACAAAGTGCACATTGCAGAGGGGATTTTTTTATGACTATGTTAGGATCTGTCTTAGAAATCCATATCAAGCACTTGGGTGGAGCATTGTGTGATTATAGTTTAGATTAAAAAAGGAAAAGAGGGAGGAAAAAAGAACTCACTGACAGCTTGAATTAAAAGATTCAGTTCGTCGAGGCAGCCAAAAGTTTGGGTGTTCCTCTTAACTTGCCTCACCTTTCCTTCACCTTCTTCTCCCCGGGAGGGAGGAAGCCTGGGTTCAAGGTTGCTCCGGAGTCAGGACTAAACAGTCCCTGCTGCTTCCTGCCGGGTCCAACGCAGACAAAGATGAGGCCCAAATGGGCTTTTTCTTGTCGTTGTCCTTGTGGGCACCAGGCTGATAATTTCCTGTTGGTTCCTCCATCAAAGGTCTCAGGCTCCCAGCCCTTTGAAGTGCCTGTCCCTAGACTCTGACGATAGCCAGAGCCTTCTGAGTCAGTTCCTTGTTGCCACTTTGCAGCTCCCCGCTCCCCCAGGCCTTAAGCTCCAAGCTCAGGGGCCTCCTTCCTTCGGTGACTGGTGGTAAAGAAGAGAGGCAGGACCCAGGAGGGGGACAACTGGATCCCAATGTGGAGAACATTGCGAATGACGGGACGGGGGTGTCATTTCTGAACCAGACATTGGAGATAGAGCTTCCCGCCCCTGGGGCTGCAGAGAAAAGTGGGAGGATCACAGGCCTTTGATCTGGGTCCCACTGCTGGCCCTGCCACTCTGGAGCTGTGTGACTGAGGGCAGAGGCTTTGTCTCCAGGAGATTCTGTTTCCAGGTCTGGAAAATGGGGATTATTACATGTGCTTGTGTACGAGGACTAAACGTGCTTGCATACCTAAAGCCACGGGCCCTGTGCTTCGAGGGGTGGCTCAATAAGTGAAATTTATTAATTACTCTCATTAATTATGAGGTCTGATTATTATCACACCTTGAATGATCTCAGCAAGAAAGGAGTCATGTTACAGTTATGAATGGTAATGATGATGGAGATTAATCTTATCTTAACCGGTGTTAGTAGTAAAACCTATGGTCAGGAATGTTAGAGCAGTTCCACGTATACAGACTCTGCAAGGCCTGTTCCGGGTCAAATGGGGGCAAGGGCCCTGGGTTCGTGTCCGAGATCTGCCACAAGTTCACTGAGTCACTTTGGACAACTTGTTTGCTTTCTCTGAGCTTCAGGTGTCCTAGCTGTAAGCGAGAGTTTACCTAAGATAAGTTCTGGGGAGGATCCTTCCAGAGCCTTAAATTCTGGAGTTTTTATGTCCTTGCTCTTCATTGAAAGGAAAGCATCCCACGGATGCAATTCTCCTTTCCGCCACTTGGAGCAGTCAGTCAATCCTCTCCAGCCCGGCCCTGACTCCCAGCATCCTGTCTCTGAAACAGACCCTTTTCAACCCCATCTGCAGCATTTCTTTGTCTTTCCCTTTCACCTAGACTGTCAGTTCCCCACGGGCAACAACGATACCCATCTGGTTTGCCTACATCTGCCCCCCCCTGTGTATTAAACACAGAAGTCCAATAAGTATATTTAATTGATAATTTTAAGTAATAAAT